GGGTGGGGGAGCAGGTGGGTAGATGTACAGAGCGGAATATCATCTTGGGGGCCTGGTGACTCTGGTGAGGAGGAAAAAATGTGAGACCAGTCCAGTTGAAGGCATACACAAACTTGCATGTTTGCCACGGCATTGGACTCATCTATATGGGAGTACTAGTGCACAATTATATTGCCTAAATAAAAACGAACATGCGCACCCATCTGCTTTTGAAAAAGGACTAGTTCCAAAGCAGTTCGCATATATTGTCACATATTTATCAACTAAAACAGTGCACTTTGTGAAGCAAACGATAAAAACACAGAAGACAAACATGAAGAGCAACACTGAAACCGTTCTTTTGATCATTTCTTCCTTCCACTCCCCCTTCTCTGTGCCTCTCACGTACAGGGCTCGCCACTTTGATAAAGTCAAGTGCAAGCTACCCACATCCCCGTGTGCCATAACGGCCCACTTGTACAGTGTGAAAACGAGGCAGAGTAAAGGGAAGAGGAGATAAACTGAGAGAAAGGATGAAATGCTTGAATGCATACAAAATTAAGGGAAAGTAAGGAGTGTGGAATGAAGATGAAAGCAAAGGATAAGAGAAGGCTCAAGAATCAGTCTGTCCTTGATGACAAAGAGGACACGCATTGTCACTCTTTCCTTCGGCTTATCTGCGCTGATGCTTTTTTTTCAGAACTTACAGTCAGCATGTCCATTGTGCGGGTGAGCGCAAATAAGGCAGCACACAACGGCATTCTTTCAAGAATTCCTTATGGTATACTCGCACTAGGGCTCTCCTGGCAGTATGTGACTGCAATGACGTTCAGATTCAGTCCAGAAAGTCTCAGCGTGAATGCACCCATAGCAAAAAGGAGGCCTTGACAAGGAAGGTGCATCCCCTGTGACGTGTTCTTGAAACACACATCCAAGGAAGTGGGTGGGAAAGTGACGCCCCCATTTCCAAGGCCCTTTTCATTCAAATGTCAAAGCCTGCAGCCTTGCATGCTGCACCTCAAAAAGGGTTATCTACCATTGAGAGCTAATGGAGGCATAACCGACAACCTTGCATGCTGCTGTAGTTTGAGCAGCAGAGTTTTCCTGGGAACTCAGGTTGGGACATAAGTGTTGCATATGGTCCATGGGTGACGACGGACGTTCTGCAGAGTGACTCCCCTGGCTCAGCAGGTGGTGGGAACCAAGTCTGCGGTGTTCTACTTGTGGTGTGAGTAGGTCTCGGACGGCTTTGTTCGATGTTGGATGTGTGGACTGACTTGTCTATGCTCAGCGGCTGTGCGTTGCTGCCCATGCCGCTTGCTCCTGATGTCATTCGTTGCAGCTCGCATGTTGCCGTGTAGTTTGACTGCGTTGCTGGTGCTGGCTTGTGTTTTGCTGCGCTTGCAATGACTTGCTGGTTCCAGGTTGCCTGTAGCCTCTCTCAGACGAGGCTGTACCATAGGTAGGGACAGATTCGTAATTTTGTTTGGCTGAGGGCTAACCGAGAGACCTACCTGTAAGGAAAATCCGTTAGGGACATATTTGTTAAATATAGGAGATATGGGCCCAGTACTAACTCGAATTTCTTACAGTTACCCTAACTGCGAATAGCAGACCCGGGCTACCCTAGGACAGACAGGCCCAATGGGCCTACGCTGATAGACGGTCCTATAGCCTATAGCCGGGTAGGGAGAGGCCCTAGAGGCCAAAACAGAAACGGTACCGGTCGGTCAGTCATTCCGGTCTAGGTCATGTCTAGGCTAGTCTAGGGTATAGATAGGATGGGGACATCGGTCCTCGGCTTTTGGCAGTTGACACTTTGTGGTGGAAGTTGCTGCACACACGGTATCAGGTCGTGGTTGCTGATTCTGGTGGTGGAGACGCCGGACATAGCCAGACCTATGGAGCGCTGACCAGACTGGGGTCAATGCTGTCCGCTCTGACTCTCTGGGAGTCAAAGCGGTCTGGGCTATCAGAGGTCTGATGCGTTGGAGCACGTGGTGCACTGCTGACCCTCCTCAGGAGTAGGGTCCCAGTGGCGATGCAGCCATAGCTGCATCTTCTCAGAGGATATCATCGTTTGGACTTCATCTTCATCAGGGACTGTTGGCGCTGAGCCTCTTCTTCATCATCTGGGTGGCGATTGGCTTTGGGAGCCTGTTTCATCTTGGCGCAGGCCACTGAGTTGGATGTCAGGGTGGCGTTGGGTGTTACCTGGGGTTCGGGTGCTATTTTTAGCTGCTCGGTGTGTGTGGGGTTGAGGCGCTACCCCTCTGAGGGTAGCGCAACAGGGATCTGAGGTTATTCAGGGAAAACATGCTCTGAGTTTAATAGACAATTGTAATACTGTGTTTGAGTTGTCATCTCTTCATTGATTTCTGGCTATGATCACTCGGTTGTCTTCTATGAATGATTGTTGGGACTGCTATGGAGAGAATTCACTGAATTGTGTATTCTGTCACTTCGCTTCTCTGAGTCTTCCGCTGCGTTTTCTTTTCTGGGCGGTGTGACCCTCCACTACCTCTCCCCTTCCTTCTGTGCATGTATGGGCGTGCACGGGAGTTCCTGTGAGTGAGCGTTGATAAAAGTTCAACGAACAATCATGTTCATAGCAGTTGGTATCAAAGCAGATCGGACCCAGACAGTGGCGAGATGATGGACTGAGGCAGCCATCACTACCTGAGAGCTTCTGACGTTGGGTTTCATGTTGGAATCACATCTTCAGTACTGCGCTCAGTAGGGTGTTGGTGAGGCATGTGTGGCGGTTGGTATGACACAGAGATTGGTGGCGATTCAGTACTCAATGGCCTGGGAGGCACTGAGGGGTTATTTTTAGCCCAGGCGTTGACTCTGCTGGTGGCGAGATACCTGGGGGTATGTCGAGTTTCAGATCCTAGGTCGGATATGGTGAATCTGATTAGTGGGGATTAATCTCCATATCAAGAACTACAATATCACCAAATTTCAGGAGATTTGGAACGTGGGAGCACCAGGAACAGTGAATTGAAGAAACTGGCGAGATGGCAGCCATAGCCAGTTCAGCTTCTTCTTCCAGTGTTTTGACCTGAAGTAAGTGTGTTCCTTACTCAAGTCCCTGTAGTGAGTCTGATAGTTGTGATTAGACTGGGAAAATCGAAACCATATGCTGTAGACAGTGAAACTTGAAAATCGCACTGCCTGACAGCCATAGCTATTTCCCCTACCTACCTACTTTGACTTCTACTGACTCTGTTTGACCTCCTCTCTATCTCAAATTGCATCTCTGACTGTACTACAGTATTGCGATGCAGTACACATAGTGAATTGAGTAGCTCAGGGTCTGTATGTCAGTGATAATGAAATTCTGCAGGTTGCGCTGCCATAGCCAGTGCTTGAGGCAGCTAGGTTTGTCATATCTTAGGTTTTGTCCGTCAGAATTTCAGTCTGTCAGTCACCCTGAAATCGCAATTCAACATTGAGTCAGTGTCTGAAAGCGCACTACTGGGTTTGATGATTTGAATCAGGTACAATGATATCTGTACTTCGCCTCACCTATAGTGGGGCATACAGGGTCCTACAGTGCCAGTGTCAGTAGTAGGAGTCTAAAAATAGCTTGATCAGTCATTCGCTGCATCTTGGTTGACTACTGGGTTCTGTTAATCGCTACTGACTCTTTGCGCTATTCTGACCTTCTATTTACAGTCCAAGGTTGCATCCTGTCTAACTATTTGACATCGATTCTGGGGTTATTGCACTCAGATGAGGATTTTGGGCTGTGAATGAAAAATCGCAAGCTGGTTTTATCTAGAATTACCCTAAACTGACCCAGAATAACCCTCAGCGGCCTACAGAGGCTGAGCGCTCTTCTGCCTAACTCACCACGTCTCTTCTCATCAGGTGGCAGTGATTACATCAGTGGTTGTGTGCATAATCTTAATCTCTGCTGACCTTATATCTGTCTGTCTATATTTATTTGATTGTGTGTGTGGTTCATTATGGCTGACGCTGAGACAAAGGTTGAGGAAGGAGAACCTTCTACTCACCCTCCCCCACTTCCTCTCTCCCCCCTGGAACAGGCCCTGCTTGAAGCGGAGGAAAACCGCAGGCAGAGGCCCATGTCCAGCGGTTGAAGAGGG